GCTCGTCAAGATACGGCACAACTCGTAAAAATACTCAGCGATACTACACAACAAAACGTCTAATAAGATATATATATTTTGATTTCATCATAGTCTTGTTGCAAATAATAGATGTTAAGTCAGATTTACCTTTTTCGACTCTGTCGCTGTGGGTGGAAGCTGTCGTGGTACGCGTCGCCTGACTTTTGGCGTTGTTTCTTTAGCGCGCCTATAAATGCCATATTTAGCTCTGGTTAAAGGAATGGCGCTTGCCATCTTCTTGTCCTGTTTACCTTGAGAATCTCGTAGTTTAATACCTGTGATTAAATCAAGATTACCAATTAGTTTCCCCAAGAAAATTCAGGTGCGAACCAATAATTTTTCTAGAAAAGTCGTAACTGCAGAAATCATAGTTTGTGCAACGAGCATCAACTAAGCAGCCAAAAGAGGGCTTTTTATTTTACGGATCAAAATCTCTACAACTTTGGGAAGACTTTTATTCAGGTGACCGAAGTGGAAATAAATAAATAAATAAATAAATAAATACATATATAAATTAAAATAAAAGAATAGATTTGGAAAACAAAAAGCCAAATTCTAAATATATAAAAGAAAAGAGACGTGATGATTAATGTGGACCAATGGTAGTAATCTCTTTCTACAAAAAGATAAGCGATTTAAAGTTAAAAACAAGTCTTACTCGTCGAGTTTTACAAAATGGAGGAACATCGAAATGATGTCTTTTCCAGCCTTGTAGAACATGGTTACCACAAAAGTGAAATACAAGTTATCTGAAACCTACCGCGCATGGTATGATACAATCGATATAGTCATTCCAGCCGTTCACCCGAGACCATTTTCTAAAAATCTCTTCAATTTTCGATATATTCATGACTTGAATGAAAAAAATTATGCTGAAAAATAACCTACCTGAATCTCTTCCAAGAGGTTTTTCTCCTTTAGTAGTTTTGAAATTCTTGGTTAGATTTTCTTTAGAATCAACTTTGGTCTTCTTATCATACACCACAATCGGAATCCGCGAAAACCTCTTGTTTTGAACTTTGCTCTCTGAATCTCTTTGCAGACGCACTTTTTTATTTGCTTTGTCCTTTGACGAGGAACTTCTGAAATTGTCGCTGCATAGGCGAGTCACTCTGATTGGTATTCTTGATTTCAGTTGTGGTGGAGGAATATGTTCTTGGTTGCCTTTCTTTTCGGAGCGAAGCCACGAGGCCATCGCGTCTCGCCCGCGGTTTTCTCTCGCTCGAAGAAAACTCAGATAAAGTTTGTTTTGTTTTGTTGTTCTTTTTTGCAGTTTGGTTTTTGTAGTATTTGATATTTTTGGTTTGTTTTAAGTAGGTTTTTCTCAAATAAGACTGTGAAATAATCCAAATTCCCAAAGCTCCTAATCTCGATACTGACCGCACCGATAGCTGAAGCAAATGATTTTGTTTTGAGCGAAAATCCATGGAAACCGTCTCTTACGATTTTTTCGTCATAAAGAGCGACGAAACCTTCGATAGCTCGTGAACGACTCGCGAACTAGAATACGATGATAAATCTAAAAATTACCGCAATTTTGTGTCCAAACTTAATAATTATGAAAACTTTGAAAGCTTTTGTCTTGGAAAAGTAACCAAAGCAAAATATAAGGCAAAATGAGAAATTTACAAGTATAAAGGAACTCAGCTATTTTTCAAAACATCATATGGCGCTGATGGTTGCTGAGAGACAGCAAATAAGTTTGTAGGCGAAAAATCTGAACTTCTATAATAACTAGACAAAGCTCCGTCCTTTTTTGGATCAAAAAAGATTCATTTGCGTTCGGCTCCTAATCCAGTGCTACCTTTGCAGAATTCATATTGTTTTCTTACTCAGCCACATGTAGATCCATTAAAGTGACTGGTAAAGTTATTCATCCAAAGAAAGCGAGTTGATCCTACAGCCTTGAATAAACATGGGCTTCTTTCTTCCCTATCAAGTTTTAAAGCAGACTTCATGCTATGAATGACGTTGTACTATAGGGGAACAATGTTCATCTTTACCGACAAATGTGGCCAACCATTTCTATGAACACGCCGCTTTGTAGCGAAAGAATTCCGATTGATCGTCAGAAAAAGGTGTAAAGTAGCATGAAAAGTCCACATGACTTTTCGAGGAGGGTTGTGATTAACCAGAAGAATCTTGTTTCAAACTGATCGACGTTCGCAGCCAGTTCAATCTTCCGCTCGTGTCCGCCTCGGTTTGTCTCAATTTAAGGTTGTCTTGAAAGGTAATGGCTTAACTTACGCTTTCATCTTTTTTTTAAGAGATTTAAAAACAGTTTTAAAAACTGTTGGTGGTAGCGGAATAATCACTGACATCATTAACACTATAGGGCTCTAACTTTCTGACTGAAGTTGAATTCAGAGTTTTATATCACGATTGTGATATGCACAAGTTCTCGCTTAGCCATTTCGAGAGACGAAAGATCAAGAGTCGAGACGTTTTCTTTCTTGCACAAGAGCGGCAAGAGCCGGACTGAACGCTAGAACGCTGAGTTCCCTCGTACTCAGTCTCTCTCGATAATTATTTCAAGATGGAGGACATCTGTGAGGAACTTGATCGGCTCACCGTTGAATTTTTTGACACTTTCGAATGCCTTCAGGAGAAGAGGGAATACCTGAATGCTTCAATAAGAGATGGACATCTTAACCTATCAAAGGCTCGCTATTCGATGGGAAACAAATCTGTTGGTGCTTTGCAATACAGTCATAAAATGGACTGTGCGCTGTATCACATAAGCTCATTTGGAGGCATTTCCAAAGAGCAGTCCGAAAACGCTGTTGTAACATTCGAACTGGAGAAAACATTGCCTAGAAGAGGAAAGGGTGCTTCGGAAGCTAATTTAAAAGAAAAAGAAGAGGAAAAAAACGTTGTTAGAAGAAGGAAACCTCAAAAATCAGGTTCATTGAGCGATGAAGCAACGTCGCGTATCGAAGAATTATATCTCCCTAAAGAGGAAAACTTGCCTGTAGAAGATGCAAGTATTAATGGTTGTGTTCAAGATCCCCTTAAATGGTTTGGAATCCTGGTTCCTGGTTGTTTAAAAACGGGTCAGAAGAACTTTCAGAGCGCCATTGAACTTAGTTGTGTTATTGTAAACCTTGAAATGAAGGTGAAAGAGATTATAGAGCAGTTGAACGCTTTGAAAATTCGAAAGAGAGAATTGTCAGAGGAGAAGAAGAAATTGCAAGAAATAGAAGACTGAGTTTTATCGCGTAAAAAATAAGGGCACAATATCTTGGCCGATAAATTAGCCTTTCTCTTGGTATCAAATGTAGGAGATTTTCTGTATTGAAATATTCATGAGTAAGAGATCAGGTACCAACACAGCGAGGGGTCGTGAAATATTTTGCGAAAAAGTATCACAGTTACCTCAGTCTAAGACGAGAATGAACTTATTTGATCATAAGGTCGGTTAAGTGGGTACCACACAGAGAGTAGATTGGATCTTAAATAATCTGGAACAACAAATTAACCCTTTTATATGAATAATAGAGGTTAGTTTCTAAAGAAACTGTGGTGTTGCAGCAGTGGGAGGTCTTACAAGATAATTATTTGGTTTTTATCAACTGAGTTAATAATGCAAACTGGCCACTTAAGAGAGAGTTTCTAAAGCTGATATTTCTTGTGTATGCCCTTTGCCAGAGCATATATAATGTTCCAATTAACCTCATCAACTGAATCAGGACAATTTTCTTCCACATTGAAAATCTACTATATTTAGCAGTTCACCCAAAGATCATAAAAGCACAGGTAATGGCGATACTGTGGTTTTTCACAAATATGTGTTTGTTGGCAGACTTCAAAAAGGGGTAGTGAACTTAAGTAAAAGTGGACTTCCTCACCTTGATAAAATTGTGGTTATCTTTTTAACCCCCTAAGAGTGACTAACAGTTAATTTCTCCGCAAACTATCACCTGGAAATTGTATGTGAAGTTCTTGAAAATAGAGGACATGATCATCAACTTAAGGTTTTGATTGTTGATAAAGTTCTCCTTGTCTGTACCATAGCAGATAATGGAAAACAGTATATGTTCACTAACTTTTATCTATACCTAGAAAGGTCAATCTTGGAAACTGTTGGTTTATGTTTGTGTTTCTGAGCCTCACAGTTAGGTCGTTGTGGAGTTCACTTTGGAAATGTTTACAGAAAACAGAGATACTAATCCAACAGAACATCTTTTTGTTACAACCTTCAGATACTGTAAGAGTTGACTTTCACAACACCTCATCTCAGGCTTAAGGCAGTTCTTCCTTCAGGGCCATGATTGTACCAAGAGACAACTCTGGACAATATTCACAAACAAACATTTCATTTTAATGAATAAATGGTAACCATGTACATTTTCATGTACAAATGAACCTTACACACCACAAGCTGCAACTTAATCCCTAAACTGATCACCACTCATGACTCTTTATTGAACCAGATAACACTTTGCTTTTTCCCTAAAATTTTGCATTAGCATTGTTTCTGGCAACCTCAGATAAAAGTATGGACAACACTGCTAACCCAAATCTTTTACGGATTTAAAAAAAGGACTGTATTACTGACAACTTGAAAATAGCGCAGTGTTCAAGTTTTGTATTATTGCATTATCTATATCAAAACAAATAGTGTTAGACTGAGCTGATAGCATCAGAACAAGTGCATGTAACACAGCTTAAGATGCAAGATGAAACATCTTTTATGGCCTTACAAACCTCACTACGGCACATGTCTAAGGTTTCCATCTTACAAAATACAACTCTTCCTCTACTTAACATGTTTTAACAATATTCCCTTACAAAATGGGAGCCTATAATGGGAAGTATATTTTCTGGCCCTTCCTATCATCCTTTTCACTGCCCAAAGAAAAGGAAAGTACAATGAGAAAGCAATCTTGAGCTGTGATTTCTTTTCTTTCTTCCCCTTTTTTTTTTTTTTTAGAATAATGTTATACCATTAACCCTTAACACTATAACTGACATCAGTATCTACGATCTCCATACTTGTCTCTATAAATTTCCTTTGTTACAGATGAAGAGAATTCAGTTTACACTCAAAGCTTTTAAGGTTGTTGATCATTTTGTTCATTCTCATGATCTCAATGACTGATTAAGCATATTTACTGTAAGGAGATAATGGATGCTAGTTGCTCTTAGGATTTAAATGAGTGAAGGTTTCTTGATGATAGAGGGACTTAGATGATAGAGGAACTTTAACTTCTATTGTAGAATAAAAACAAAAGATTCACTGCTGAGATTTACTGCTTAGGCAAGGTTTTGACCTTGGTGTATGATGTTCTTTATCTATCTGATGCTTACACATGTAAATTGTCTACAAGAATTTGGTCATAATGAATAAGGTTTATTCTGAAGTGTAGGTTTCATAAATTAAAGCTCAAGTTATTTCTTGGCAGCAGCTTGCTTGGCTTCTTCTGCTTTCACTTGTTCATGTTCCTTGATAAGTGCTTCAACCTCTGCTGCTTTTAGAATCTTGATGCTTGTTATGCCATTTTCCCTGGTCAATGTGGACATTTCCACTGTCAAAAACAAGATGACGATAAAATGAGAACAGAATTCTCAATTGTGAAGTTTTGTTTCTATTAACATAGAAGGGTATATGACTTGCATGCTACAAACACTTCTAGCAGTATATTATCACTGAAAGTTGCCAGGTTACATGTTATACATGATCCAGCAGACTAAGCACCAAAACACACTTGCAAATTTTGTACACTAACAAAATTTCTAACCAGTCTGAAATGATGGATGGCAGCCATCTCTGTAAACTAACCTTTGTCAGGTGTAAGTTTTGTTATATCTAATGTCTTGTCTAGAACTTTGACTGCCAGTTTCAGAGCATCTTTTAATTCCATTTCATCTTCCTTGTATTCTTGTTTCAGCATGGAGACTGCAGCCTGACAGAATCACAGGAAAGTATCGTTTTATGTTATTTTTGAAAGAAATGAATTTGATGGATTTGAAAACCTCCCCTCACTTGAGAGGTACAGAAAATTTACAGACTGATGACAATTATACTTCTTTCTAAAGTATTACTTTCCTGCATGTGTATCCCCTAATAACCCCTACACACCCAAATGATTTATATAAAACTTCTCCTGACAGCTTTAATACATTGCCTATGAGGCAGGTAATGAGAAATTTTAAGATCATGATTTACTAAGGGACATTGTTTTCATTTGACTCCAAATTCACAAATAAGGAGAGTTGACATTCAGATCTTGGAAGTGAACTAGTTGAAATGATATACAATCCCTAACTGAAGAGAACAATTATGACTTACTACACTGTTATTTCCTATGCACGTTGCCTTCCATCCACTGTAGTTGCCACTAGGATCACTCTGATACAACTGATAGCCATAGTGTTTATCCCAGCCCACGTACAAAATGGATACACCAAATGGTCGCAAACCTGCAAGTATTAACAAAAGTCATGACATGGCTGAGTCCACAAGTTTGGCAAGTATGTAAGTGAAAACTATATCAAGCAGACATCATGTGCTCATCCAACTTTGGAGCACCTTTTCATTTGTTAAAAAAACCTTGAGTTTTCAAGCAATTTTCCCTGCAAGAGTCACAAACAAGCTTTTTTAGAAAGTCTATAGAGATAAAATCAAACCCAGTTTCATGAACATAATGTGGGGGTTGCAGTTCATGGAGATTTGCGAGGGCATTGCCATTGACTTTCTCTCAATTTGCTTGAGGACTTTACTAGCCTCCTCTTCTTCCCTCTCCTGTCCCATAAAATCTTGGTAAGCATTTTTTTCCTCACACTGGTTTGTCTGTGTTGCGCTGACAGGTGCCTGGAGGAGGGTGTGGGCCCGTTGCCAAGGTCACCTCCTTGCTGCTAGGGAGAATCCAGCCCTCTCCTGTCCGTACTGTTATGAAGCCTACCCTCCAACACTATTGACTAGGTATTTTGATACCGATTAAAACTAACCTCCAAATTGTGTATAGGCTTGTTTTACATCACACAGTGAGCTGACAACCTGCTCACATGGTATTGGTTCTTGGTATTGTAATAAATATCTGAGAAAAGAAAATTATAACATAACTAAAGTAAAGCTCGCACTCTGATCGGTCAATTTAGCGCCCCCCATTTGCCCATGGGTGTATGCTGCTGACGTGAGCAAATGCAAAGACTATTTTTCCTCGCACACTTGCTTTTTCTGGTCATGTAATATTTGTTAAATAAAAGGGAACCCTTTAGCTACAATGTATCAATGTTATGTTATAAAACAAATGGTAAACACCACAGCGTATACTATTGAGTTATGGATGCACTTGGGAGGTTTGCTATGCACTCAAGAAGCTAGAGTCGCTCTCGGCTATCACCTCGAGCAACTATTACGCTTCTTTCATGCTTAGCAACCTCCCGCATGCATCCATAACTCAATAGTATACACTGTGGTGTTTACCATTTGTTAAGTAGGACAAATCAAAGGAAACATAATGACTGTTACCTTCTGCAAAAATGTAAATTGATGAATGTTTCTGACGAAACATTCAAGATCACAGTGAAAAAAAATTATGAAAAAATATCTAATTAATTAATATACATAAACTAATACAGTATGTACCTCTGAGCTATAAGTCTTAGTTGATTTGTCAGCACATTAGCATCAGATGTTATACCAGCAACACTGCAGGCCAAGTCACTAAAATGGCAAAAAGATTTAGTCACAACTTCTTTAGTTGTATCGACTGTGAAAATCATTATGATTTTAGACACTATCAAGGTACCCCTTCAAATTTTATTTTAATACACTGTACTTTACACTGTTTTACAGAATCTTGTTCATCCACTTAATTTTCTGAGATTTCCCCTAGCAACCTGTGATGTAGCTATGTACACCAGGTAACTAAGTATGGTCAAATGGATGTCCATTTTTTCCCTTTGTCCCTAAGTCTCATGGTTTAGATAGAAGAACCTCAACTTGAGGGACACTGAGCCTAACTTGTTTGCATACTTGAAACTGCAGCCTTCCTGCAGACAGCAACTCTGCCTATTTAATCTATGTCTCTTGCATGTTGCAAAAAAAAAAATTATTTCTACATGCAGAGGTGACTTTGATCCATCTCTTTTTCTGTACTTACTCGTGAAGCTTGTAAATCTTTTCTGAAGAAAATACTTCATCAAGAAGTTTATTGGTGTTTCGCCTCTCAGCTGCTAAAACAATGCCATCATTTGCCAAAATTCCCAGGCATATACCAGCATGACCTACAGCTTCCATGGCATATTCCACCTGATACAGTCGTCCTGCTTGGAAAGAGAACAAGACTGAATGAAATGGTGAACCCTGTTTGAGCATAGTCAATATTTGGGTGTGAGACAGCAATAACAAAATAAGCTTAATTGTGCATGCACTTTGATTGGTTCTTACTTATGTTATAATGTAGCACAGATGCATATATGACATTGCCATTTACCGTACTCTTTTTTCTTACCATATTCAACAAATAGATTCCATGTTGCTGAAGGCCTGGGCCGGGTTGTTCAAAGGTGGATTAAGACAACCCAAGGGTTAGTGTGAAATTTGATTTCAGATCTGAAAGCTTAATTAAATCTTTAAGAATCGAGAGAATTATCCCTAAACAGCTTTTGAACAGAGAAACATAGAAACCTGGATTAAAATTTAACCCCGGGTTAGCACTATTCGGCTTTCGAACAACTGGGACCTGTACTGCAGCAACAGATCACAGAAGACGTAAATTGTTTCCTTTTATCAATTAACACCTTGCATAATTAAGTATCAAGTTTTCTGGAAAGTTTGCATACTCTCAATGTTAAGCACGTGTAGATATGAATTTTATCTATAAATCCGAGTCAAGTCTTATAAAATCGAACTGGAGGTCAAACAAAGACGCAAATTTCTTCGCTCTTTACCCTGCAAGAGATTTATAATTCTGCAAACATGAAAAGGGTCCAGAACATTTGAAAAAGTAGTGAAAAACAGATTAACACTCAAGTCTTCTCAGTTCTTACCTTCGGGCGAGAATATCGTCGTCCTTGTATCATATCGGCGAGACTAAAATAAGAATAATAAAATTTGAGATGCTATAGCCACACTAGTACTCTTCCTTCAAGTTGCAAAGCGAAACTAAATGAGTGCCTTCTACGATTCACATGAAAGAAGCAAGGAAGATGGTATACGAAAATTTAAATCTTTAAAAATAGTAAGTTTTAACTTCGCTGAAGAAAGCGCAAGAGAAAAGAAACTTGTAGGATTGTACCCACCATTTTGAGAAACTGATAAAGAATGACAGTGCACGTTGCGCGGTCGTAGGATTGGAAACTATACCTACTACTCATACTCTTGGCGGACAACCCCTGGTCATTTGCGGACTCAAAATTGCACCACAACATGTTACGGAAAGTGATTAGTACGTGGAAAACACGGTGATATTTTTCGTTGTATACCACAACAGCTGAAATCATGAGGACTACGACACCGCAGCGTCTTTCTGAACTTCAAAAAAATCCGAAAAATATCAGAAATATATGTATTTTGGCTCATGTGGATCACGGTGAGTGAGCTCAGTTCGTTTTCATCACAGTGATAAACATGTTTTGAACTTGTGCCGGCCCTTGGGTCTTTCAGTGGTTCATTTCTTCCATCGATCTGTTTCTAGGGAAGACAACGATTGCGGATGCACTCTTGGCCAGTAATGGGATCATTTCACAACGTTTGGCAGGCAAAGTAAGAACTAACACTGTATACCTTCATCTATTTATTAAAACCTCTGAAACCGAAGTGTGACCAGCATCTAGATTCTCCCTTTAGTAATACTTAATAATAATAATAAGTTTAATTACGTGCCAACGTGATTTAGCGTTGCTACTCATTGGGGACATCAGAAATGTTCATTATGACCATCAGTGGCTCCCCTTGTTAAGTTTGTCTAGATTGGGATTAAGGTTACTCATGTATAAAGGTGATGACACTGATTGCATCAATTCAATGTCCAAAAGCTTCAGAATTGAACTAGGGAATTGGAGCATCAAGTGGGGAGATTTTTCTTAACTGACTTGTTTTGATTTGTTTAGTTAAGATATATGGATAGCCGTGAAGATGAACAGCTTAGAGGGATAACTATGAAATCAAGTGCAATATCTTTACTCTTCACCAGAGGTATATCTACATATTAGTATCTACTAAAACAATGGATGGCATTGAAGGTGTGCTCTGATTGGCTAGTCAAACTCTGAATATCCCCTTTGCTATTTACCTTCAAGCAACTCGGGAAAAAAATGGCGTCCCGGTTTGTATCCATGACAAGTGAAGAAATCACTCAAATCAATTTTTGGTGGTGTATATTATCTCACTGTTTTAGTATACACTAAGACAACTATTCACCTCAGTGTCAGTGGTTAGCAGTGGATATTTACCTCGCCGCTTTGCGGCTCGGTAAATATCCACCACTAACCACCTCCACTTCGGTGAATAGTTGTTAATTATTGCATGGCTAGTGTTGTTTTGGTTTAAAAGCTACGGTTAACAGCTAATATTCTGAGTCACCTTATGCAGAAATACATTGGGATGTGTTTAGGTTTTAGTGAAATTTGATAAAAAAATTATTCCACTTGCACTTGTTAGATAAGAGATTGGTAATAGCCAGCACAGATCTACACAACTTGTTGTCTATTTGCCATTTCATATCCAATGGGTGCTTATGGATTCTTATCAATGAACTACATCACACAGTGATGCCGCAATACATGTTAATTATGCATAGACGGTCAAAACTTCTATTTAAGTATCAACTTAAAAATGAGCACTAAATTATGTGCAGATGCTATGCTATTCATTTTTAAAATTAGCTCACTTTGTGCTGTATTATTGTGTGTGAAAAGAAATTGGATGCTGATTGCCTTTTTTGCCTTTAATTGCCTTTATTGCTTTAGTGGCAATAAAGGCAACAACCCAAAATTTGGGCTTTTTACAAGAGTACTATGTTGCAAATCACACATGCTGTATCACTCCATGTAATTTTTGAGATAGTGAGTAGTTTGCCTGACTTTCTTTTATATAATTACCCTTTCACTGCCAAAATCTCATTAGTAATTCTCTTTACTGTCTGCTGTATAGCTGTTATAATGTTGGTTTGGAGAATTTGGTATTGGATCAACTAATTTCCCCTTGTTGACCATTTTTATTTATTCGCATCACTTCACTTGTGTGCTTGATGTTATATTGATATTGTAAGGAGATATTCTGTCTTGGTCACTCATTGGAGTTAAAGAGAACACATACTGATTTCTTCTGATTCAATTCTGTTAGATTTGTCATCAGACGATAACAGTAGCTGTTGACTGAATGTTGACATGATAACCATTTTATGTTGTACAATGTAGATGATGGCTTTTGATTTTTTTTTTTCTGTAACTATTTTCTAGGTGAAGAAGAATATATAATAAACCTTATTGATTCCCCAGGACATGTGGACTTTTCCAGTGAGGCAAGTTCAATTAATTTATTTACCACTATTGGCTGTAATGTCCCAATCTGATTGGCCCATTTGCCATTGTTGATGAGAGTACACACAATGCTGCTTGTGTCATTGTGTCACGCAACATGTCACACACTGAAGGAATCTTTCTATTTGACATCGATATTGTAGTAAAAAACAAATTGACAGTGGTTTAGCGAACTCTGTACTCTTATAGACAGCAGTACATGTATTTGTCATCAACAGGTGTCAACAGCGGTACGCCTCTGTGATGGTGCAATTGTTGTGGTAGATGTAGTTGAAGGAGTCTCCCCTCAGGTCAGAAATAGTTTATTATTTTTTGTTCATTCATACACTACTAACAAATTATATATGTTGTAGTTCAATTTTATACTTGGTTCAAATTTTATTTTCCTTTGTTCTAGGTCATGTTAATGTGTACGATAATGAGTTTGAAACAAAGGAAAATAAAATTTGAACCAAGGATAAAATTGAACTACAACATATATATAGCTTGTAAACTCCACTGTTGCTATTTTTCTTTGGCTTAATTATTCACCTAGCTGTTATCATGTGTTAGAGCTCTCAAGCTCGTTTGCTCATTAAATCTTTGAAAAATACATTTTACTGAGTCAGTCAAACCTAACAACATAGGACCATTTCATGCCCTGACTTCCACAGACTCACGTAGTGTTGCGTCAAGCTTGGCTGGAGAATATTCGACCTTGTTTGGTTATGAACAAGATTGACAGGTTAATTACTGAACTGAAGTTCTCTCCAACAGAGGCTTACTTTCATTTACAGCAGATTCTAGAAAAGGTGAAAACAATGATTTCTTTTTTAGTTAATGACATTATTCTGCAACTTTCTTTGAAATTAGGACATTCAACTTGTATAGTTACATGTAATTACAGGGAGGGACTATTTTTAACTAGTAAAGAAACTTTTTGATATGACAATGTTATGTATGGACCAAGACAAATGTTCTACTCAGTCAATTAATTTTCCAGTACCACATCAACTCTTTACGCCCAAACAGCGGTATGTGTAGTCTCCATACTGTTCTCTTTTCATTTCCTTTGGTGATGACAAGGAGAATTTGACCTTAATGTTTGATTTAGGGGTGACATTGTCAGAAGAAATTAGATGCTAGCCTTTCACAGGGGTTAGGGAACATGACAATGACAATTAACTTTTGGTTTTGCTGATGTGTTTTCCAGAATTTGAGAAAGTTGTTAAGGGTGTCAAGTACATTTTAACCACAGTAATTACCTAATATTTTTGGATTTGAAGGTTACTTTGAAGGAAATAACTTTTTAGCACCCTTACTCCATTTGCTGTCAATAGCAAATTTAGAAAAATGTCATATTTTGATATTAAAGCTTTGCTTTTCATTGCTTTGTTAATTTTTTTTAACTGAATTACATTTAAAAAGATTAAAAGTATCAATTTTTGGGATACTTTTTGTGTACATCTATTGACAAGCCTTTCATTTCCAAGATTTCAATAGCCGTTCTCCTTGCTGTTCGCTACCCATGATGTGAGTTTGGAGAATTAGGTGTTGAATCAGATGATATCCCCTAGCAGGGCTTGACACTAACTTTTTAACTTACTAGCCAAGTGGCTAGTGACATCTTAGATGATTTTAGATGTTACAACAATTTCAGTCTGTTTACTAGCCAAACTGGCGAGTGGAAATTGAAAACCACTAGCCAAAACTGAATTTCTACTAGTCTGTGGCTAGTGGGCTACTGTTAGTGTCGAGCCCTGCCCTAGTTTATGTTTTTCTTTACTCTGAATCACTAATAATAATAATAATAATAATAATAATAATAATAATAATAATAATAATAATAATAATAATAATAATAATAATAATAATAATAATAATAACACCTTTATTTAAACATGATAATGTTTCAAAGCTGAACAGCTTGTGGGGTTGCGTGTAAATCAAATAAACTTCTGAATTAAATAAATTCAAATGATGGTTTTTGAGGAGAGGGGAAAACCAAAGTACCCAGAAAAAAACCGCTCGCAGCAGAGTAGAGAACCAACAAACTCAATCCACTTATGACACTGGGTCCGGGAATCGAACCTGGGACACATTGGTGGAAGGCGAGGCGCTCTCACCACTACGCCAACCCTGCTCCCCTTAAACTTATAGATGCTTGATGTTATACCGATATTGTAAGGAGAAATTACTATTTAGTCATTCCTGGGTGTGAAAGATCTAGTCAATTCTAACTAACCTCTTGCTTCAAATTTGTCCTCGTGTGTTTAGGTTAATGCCATAACAGCTGCCCTCTTCACAACGGAAGTTTTAGAGAAAAGTTCTGCTAAACAGGCAACAGAAAAGACCAGGAATGAAAAAACTTTTACAGATGACGTTGCAGTGTCTATTGATGACTGGAGCTCAGGTCTTGAGGAAACAGATGACTCATTGTTATACTTCTCACCTGACGTAGGAAATGTTCTCTTTACAAGTGCAATCGATGGTTGGGGTTTTAGGTAAAGTAAACTGCATGTAGACTGTAGTGCAACAGCTGGACAGTAAAATGTACCATACACTACATTGGTTAGTTGGTCAACCATTGCTACTGCTTAAAAGGGTTAGCTTTTCAAAAATAAAGTTTAGTTTTTCAAAATTTGGTATGGTGGTTCACCTTCATGTACCTTAGTAAACTTACTGTTGATAATTAATTGAATAGCAGTATTTTTCTTGCTTGCCAATGCAGTGCAACAGTTTTTTTGAAACCAATGACCTCTTTCAAACACATTTCTTTATTTTTGGGAATACCATATTTTTTTTTTTTTAAAGTTCCTTTGGGTCTTATTAAAATTAATTTTTGAACCTTGATAATGGGCATTTATTTGAGGTGGGTGCTTTTAAATTTTTTTATCATTTTCCACTAGTAGCAAGTTTATTTTGCAACAAACAACACATAATAAAAATAGACATTGAATTTAACAATTGTAAACTATTAAAAAAGAAATTATTAATACTCCTCATGTACATGAGGAATGGGCCCATAATATTATTTTGAAGCAGGGGGTTTATTAACTTCTGTATCGTACCAACAGGGTGGGGCTTTATTTTTTTAGTCTTCTTTGCTTCTCCTTTACACTCTCTACAAGCTTAGATGTAGGCTTTGGTTTTGAAGCATTGATCCTTCTTTCATGATTCGTTATCTTCAGCTATTAATTCCTACTCCTTTATAAAAACAAAGAGGATTCAACTCTCAGTTTGGATAATTTCTTTGAGAGCAGTAACTGCAGTAGATGCCTGGACATTTTAACACTTGCCTGTTCACGTTTGCTAAAATGTTTTTGATTCCTTATTCGTTTGTTTAACAGCATTAAAGACTTTGCGGAAATGTATGCCAATAAACTTGGTATCAGCAAACAAATTCTCTCCAACACTCTGTGGGGAGACTTCTATCTTCATACCAAATCAAAAAGGATTTTGAAAGGTGCACAAGCTAAAGCAAAGAAGCCCCTGTTTGTTCAGTTTATACTGGACAACATCTGGGCTGTTTATGATGCTGTGCTTAAAAGGTAAGTTTAATCTTGCAATCCTTCCACATTCAAGATCTTGAGATTGACTTAAAACTTCACTTCAAATATGTACATGTCGGGCTCACGGGTTAGTGAAGACGAGCGAAAACGGTGGCGACCGAAAATAGGCGTTAGCTCGCCCTCTTCTTAGCTCAGCCACAAAAACTAAGTGATATGCCCAGAATAGGCTGGCTACCTTTGATGGAAATGGCATTGAGTATACTATTCGACTGGAGTTAATAATGAAATTCTCTTGGACTTCATAATAGGGACAAAATCAAAACGGAACAGATAGTCAAATCCCTAAATCTGAAAATCTCAGCCAGAGACAGTCGGCACACAGACAGCCGTGTACATCTCAAGGCCTTGTTTGATCAGTGGCTGCCACTGTCCCGCTCCATGTTGACAGTGGTGGTGATGAAGCTTCCCAGTCCCCTAGAGATGGGCGATGAGAAAGTTGAAAAGCTGATGTGTAGTGGGCTCAGGACTTTTGATTCTTTACCTGAGGAGACACAGCGCTTGAAAAATGGTATATCATTTTTTGCTATAAGTGTGTTTTTTTATCCATATCTAAATGCCTCTTTAGTACCTTTATTACATTTTGTCGTCTATTTGATATAGATGAAACTGATCATGGGACACAACCTTAACTTAGAAATAGAAATTGAAAGAAAAAAAATGGCCGTCGTCGTTCACGTTCTCCAGACTATGCAAAGTTTGGTCATTTCACGTTGTTGTTTTGCAGAGGACGCAAGGAAATTTTTAAAAAAATTCATAATGTACGTGCACAGCCATTGTTCTGCTCATTAAACCTTTTGTGTAGTGATGTTCCCGTTGCCGTCGTGGTTTTCTAACTTTTTATCAGTTGACTGTTGTTGTGTTAGGGGAGGGGTGGGTGCGCAGCTGCTCAGATACAGACATTGACCTGCAATTGCTATAATTCTTGAAGATAAAAGTGAAAAAGATTTAAGGAGAAGGGCAAGCTCGTTCCCAGGGCCTCTCATCTTCCTGCCTCTGTGGGAGCGGGAAGATGAGAGACCCTGGGAACGAGGTTGGGAGAAAGGCTGATAAACGTTATTGTTTTGTAGGATAGCATCATCCATCTATTCTTTGAACATACGGCGCTGGTTCAGATTTTCAGCCAAGAACTACTCTGCTGTTTCCTGAACTGCTCCTGAGTTTTTGTTTCCTTATTCTCCTCAGATTTTCTGGTTTGCAGATCTTCTGACGACGCACCTGTGATAGTGTTTGTTTCTAAAATGTTTGCTGTCGAAGATAGTGCTTTACCAAAGCATCGTAAGAGGTGAACAAAAACTTATATATTGGACGTATGATACGTTTTTGTTTCCCAAGAAATCTCTCAGACGTAACGAAACTTCTAGCAATTTACCTAATCTAAGTAGTTGAGGGTGTTACAAATGCATACAAATGTGTACAAATGCTACTACTTTATGTTCTCTTTTAAGGCCACTGACTCAAGAAGAAATTGCTGCTCGACGCGTACAAGCGCGGAAAAGACATGCCGAGATGCTGGCAAATAACGCCGGCTTAGAAAATGGTACTTCTCTTAATTTGGAACCAGAAACAAGCAAAGAAAACAAAGAGAATGAAAGCACCGAGGTTTTAAAGCTCACAGAAGACGAAGAGACTCCCAAAAATCACGTGTTAGCATTCGCACGGGTTTACAGCGGGATCATCAAGAAGGGCCAGCGGCTGTACGTGCTGGGCCCTAAACATGATCCACGAGAGGGCCTCAATAAACAATGGGTGCCATTCGAGGACCAAGTCCAATCTGACGCTTCCAGGTACTGGCTTTCAGTTTGTACAGGCTAGAAAACTCAAGATCATGCTCCAAGTTCAAAATACGTTCATTCTTGTAAACAGTTGTTTATAAAGTATTTAAAGAGTGCAGGCCACTGACTTGCAGGGCTGCTGAGCTTATCTGGGTATCTTTGGCATGTCTTGTTTCTCCGTTTGGATGCAATGTCAGTCAATTGCGGTTTATTCTCCGCGTTAGAATCTAAGTAGTGGTTCTGTTGTCTTTGTATAAAGTCATCTGTTACTTCCTTTCTGTTAGATTTGTAATGTTTTTGTTTCTTTCGTTTTTACCTGTCGCCTTTTAAGCGCTAACAAAGAAGAGGAAAACGAGGGACTTGCAGTGGCGAAATCTGTAGATCGAGGTACAAATCAACATGTGGCTGCATTCATTGTGCAAGACCTTTATTTGCTCATGGGACGAGAACTCGAAGCCCTGGACTCTGTCCCGGCCGGGAATGTGTTGGGGATTGGCGGCCTTGAGAGTCACGTGCTCAAGTCTGCCACAGTCTCTAGCACTGCTGCCTGTCCACCCTTCACTGCTCTTCCAATCGAGGCTCGTCCCATTGTCCGTGTGGCAGTGGAACCGTTCCACCCGGCCGACATGCCCGCGCTAGCCAGGGGAATGAGACTTCTTAACCAGGCGGATCCTTGTGTTGAGACTTTAGTCCAGGAGACTGGTAAGTTTTCTTAATGTCAGGAGCATAGAGGCCCTTTACATCTTACATCGATCGGAGCCAAGCTTGCTAACCATTGGGTTCACGTATCTCCCACTCAGGGGCCAATTATGTGTCACAACCATTAAAAGCCGGACCAGAGCCCCCATATTATTACGACCAGCTTTGTGTGGCCCATTAGTGGTTTTTATATCATCTGTTGCTGTATTTAAGTGTCGTTTCTTTGTGCTTGAACGCTGTTACGGCAGGTAAAATCTGTAAAACACGACCAAGCCACAGGGAGCAGACAAGTCAAGATGCATGATGGACCTTATTCAACCAACTGTTATTTATTTGTTTCCTTTAGGTGAGCACGTGATCGTGGGCGCAGGAGAAGTCCATCTTCAGCGTTGTATTGATGATCTAGAGAAGCTCTTTGCTGGCATTAAACTCAATGTATCAGCGCCTATTGTTCCGTTCCGAGAAACCATCGTTGTTCCTCCTACTTTTGACAGGGTCAACGAAGCTATTATCAGCGAAACAAACTCGACCCAGCCGAAACAAATCGATACCGAAGGAGAGGAAAGCGATAAAAATGTCTTGGATAAAGACAGAGGAATCATTGAAATCAAGACGGCAAACAAACTCTGTAGTGTCCAAGTGAGGGCTTTACCATTGCCAGACGATGTTACGCAGTTACTTGAGAAGAAAAGTGATTTGATAAAAATCTTAGTGACGGTGTCATCAGCCACGAGCTTAGCAGAGCGGAGGCAGCTGGTAGATCAAGTTAAACTTCCCACGAGAGAATCGTTGAAAGGCCTCTATCAAGAGCTCTGCACCGCTTTTAAAGAGGCAGGGACCATTTGGGATGGAGCTGCAGATGATATCTGGGCATTTGGTCCTCGTAGGATTGGCAGCAATGTTTTACTGAATAGAATACCAGGCTATAAACGGCCTTCTATGTGGCAAAGTTCGGGTCTGTTAGGTATGTTCGATTTTTTGATTGATTGTTCCTTTTATAATCTATTTTCTCCCTCTCTATCTTAGAAGGTGTTTGAAATATTATTTTCTTGTTGGCGTTGATTTCCTTTGTAATCCAAACAAAGCAAATTATAAGCCTTTAATTTTGATTATCAACATAAGTAATCGTGACTCGTCGTTTTTCGCCCGCAAGAAGCTGTATGCTTGTAATTTGCTTGTTAAAGAGAGATAATTTGTAGATGCTCTCTATGGTTGAGAAAAATGTATGCAACGCCTTTAAGCGTTCATATATCAGTTGTTTTACAATTTTGTTGCTGTTGTTTTTCACAAGCGAAAAGTAAGTTTTAAAGGCCCAGTGTAACGGCAAGGAAAAGCAACAAAACATGGACAAAACAAAACACTCTTACAATGTCAAAACTGCGACTGCAATAACCTCTTACATATTTTCCGGTCGCTACAGGAAACACTTGTTCGTCACCAGAAAGCAGTTACCGCGAATATGATAATAGTATCGTTAGTGGTTTTCAGCTTGCAACATTAGGTGGTCCGCTCTGCGAGGAACCCTTGATGGGAGTCTGCTTTGTCGTAGAAGATTGGATTTCACTGGATCCAGGTTCAAACACAGTTGCTACCACAGGAATGAGCAGTGGAAAGAATGTAGGGCACGAACATGTATCGAAGAATGAAGATTGTAATGTTGACGGGAATACTAACGAAAACGAAGCACGCAAACATGAAGARAAAATTAACGAAATGAGCTGTGAAAAGAACGATGATCCAAAGAAATTTTCAACAGATTCTGAGGATAGAAGTTCGAAAATTGCTCCATCGCAAAGACTTCATAGGTTCGGACCATTTTCTGGACAGCTGATGTCGGCTGTCAAGGAAGGCTGCAGGCGCGCTTTTTTGCTTCAGCCGGTGCGCCTCATGGCAGCTATGTACACA